GACATATAGCCCCTGGGGGACACTATAGGGATGTACAGCCCCAGGGGGGACACTATAGGGACATACAGCCCCACGGGACACACACAATATAGAGACATATAGCCCTGTGGGACACTATAGGGACATACATCCCCCGAGGGGACACTGTAGGGACATACAGCCCCAGGGGGGACGCTGTAGGGACATACAGCCCTGTGGGACACTACAGGGACATATAGCCCTGTGGGACACTACAGGGACATACAGCCCCCGGGGGGACACTATAGGGACATATAGCCCCCGGGGGGACACTATAGGGATGTATAGCCCCAGGGGGACACTATAGGGACGTATAGCCCCAGGGGGGACACTATAGGGACGTATAGCCCCCGAGGGGACACTATAGGGATGTATAGCCCCTGGGGGACACTATAGGGACGTATAGCCCCCGAGGGGACACTATAGGGATGTATAGCCCCAGGGGGACACTATAGGGACGTATAGCCCCAGGGGGACACTATAGGGACGTATAGCCCCTGGGGGACACTATAGGGACATACAGCCTCCATGGGGACACACTAGAGGGACACAAAGCCCCATGAGACACACACACTATAGAGACATATAGCCCTGTGGGACACTATAGGGACACACAGCCCCCGGGGGGACACTATAGGGACATACAGCCCCCAGGGGGGACACTATAGGGACATACAGCCCCACGGGACACACACAATATAGAGACATATAGCCCTGTGGGACACTATAGGGACATACATCCCCCGAGGGGACACTGTAGGGACATACAGCCCCAGGGGGGACGCTGTAGGGACATACACCCCCCCCCCCCCCAACACTATAGGCCTATATGGCCTGGGGGGAGGGGGTGTTACCCTATAGCCCCCTCCCCACGGCACTGTCCCCACAGGGCGAAGTCTTCAGCCGCAGCACCCGGGTGGTGGCTCAGCAGCAGCGCAGGGGACACCGACGCTGGCGCCTGGCAGCCATCGGCCTCGCTGCCTTCCTCCTCCTCTTCCTCATCCTCGTCCTCAGCCTGGCCCTATGGCTCTCACGGCCAGCCCCTGCCGTCGTCACTGTCACTGTCCCCCCCCCACCCCTTCCTGGGGGGACTAAGCCCCCCTCCGAGCCACAGCTGGGACTTTGGGAGACCCTACAATAACGCAAGAGTGAGAACTATTTTGGGGAGACCCAAATAACAAACCCTCAGGATCTGCTTTGGGGAGACCTTCCTGTAAATAAGAACCAGGACTTGTTTGGAGGAGACCCTACAATAACAAAAGCGCCAGCCCCCCTCCCCCCCCCGAGGAGACCCTACAATAATAAACCCACAGGACCCACTACGGGGAGATCTAACAATAAATAAACAGCGGGAGCTGTTCTGGGGAGACCCTACAATAACACAGCAGCAGGAGCAGCTTTGGGGAGACCCTACAATAACAAACCATCGGGATGATCCCTGGGGAGACCCCAGGACGGCTTCTGGAGAGACGGCACGATAAACAAACACCGGGACTTGTTTGAGGGAGACCCTACAATAACAGCACGGTGGGACCTGCCCCAGGGAGACCCTACAATAACGAACCGCTGGGCCTTGCTCCCGGGTGACCCCCCCCCCAATAACCAACCCCCACGCAGGGAGACCCCACAACAACCAGCCGCCCACTCCCAGGAGACCCTACAATAAACAAAGGGACCCGATTTG